GGTCAGCCATGCGGCCGTACACGGCTGCGTTCCTGTGGCTAGTGCGGAGATCATGGACGTTGGAAGCTTCCCCCCAAACCTCGATGAGGTCCACGATTCCGCACCTGACCAAGCGGGCGCCCGCCTCTTGCGGCCCCGGGCAGGCTCCTGGGAGCCGCCAGGCTGGTCCCGGGAAGAGGGGGAGGGCTGGGTGGCATCGGGTGACTGGCTCATGTTGTGCCAGGTGCATGGTCTGCTGGCTGGGTGCTGACAGGCTTGCAACTGGCACAAACTGTGTAGCCAGCCCATGGCCCTTTAAGGGCTCTGGGGCCGGTAGGGGGGCAGACAAGTTTCCCTGGTGTTGGCCAGAGTGGCCACCAGGGCAAGCTGGGAAGGGCTAGCTTCTCACTAGTTCGAATTAAGTGGCTACACAGCCCTTAATTCGAACTAGCTAATTCGAACTAGGCGTTAGTCCTCATAGAATGAGGTTTACCTAGTTCGAATTAAGCGCTCCGCTTGTTCGAATTAAGTTCGAACTAACGGAGCGCTAGTGTAGCACCTATCAAAGTTAATTCAAACTAACATCTGTTAGTTTGAATTAACTTTGTAGTGTAGACATACCCAAAGTGCTAACGCTATGACATCTTTCTTGGTAGACTTGCTGAGTCAAGTACTTGATGGATGAAAGAATTAATCGTTCTCTTGAATGAGTTTTGAGGCATAGTTTGCAGGATCATTTCCCAGGCAGTACGGCTACGTCTAGACTGGCATGATATTCCGGAAATGCTTTTACTGGAAAAGTTTTCCGTTAAAAGCATTTTTGGAACAGAGCGTCCGTGCCAATCTAGATGAGCTTTTCCACAAAAAAGCCCCAATCGCCATTTTTACGATCAGGGCTTTTTTGCGGAAAACAAATCTCAGCTGTCTACACTGGCCCTTTTGCACAAAACTTTTGCATAAAAGGGACTTTTGCCCGAACTGGAGCAGCATAGTATTTCTGCAAAAAGCACTGCTTTCTTACAGTAGGAAGTCAGTGCTTTTGCGGAAATTCAAGCGGCCAGTGTAGACAGCTGGCGAGTTTTTCCGGAAAAGTGGCTGATTTTCTGGAAAAACTGGCCAGTCTAGACACAGCCTACCTGTTCTCTAGATAATGAGAGACCTTCTTTTCCTGTGCTGTTGCTCAACACCCTTCATAAGAACTGTCATAAAAATAATATACATACTGAAAGGGTAATAATGGTAGAGCAGAACTTTACTAGTAACTAGTTTTTCTTTAAAATGTCAAATCTTACAGTAAAGTCCAAACAGACAGGGATGCTGCAACAATTTTTAGGGAGGGCATGCTCTGAACTGTAAATCTTGTATATAATGGAAATCTCTTCAAGTCGCACCCCGAGTTCCTAGTTTCAATACCTATGCAAACGGAAGACCAATGTCATTATCTTTACTAGTTATTTGAATGTTATAAAATGGGCATATCATCTATGAATTGAAAAACAGCCAAAACAAAACAGACCTAAAGAAACAACAATTCAAAAGAAAACCAATAAAAAGCAAACACTTCAAACAATTAAAGAAGTACCACTCCCTTAAATCACTTCTTCAGTCAGGCATCGAAGTAACAAGTTAAACTTGCGATTTGTTGTCTAGCCTTGTCCTGGAATGGCTGACAAAATCTATCATCTGCAGTACTGCTGTCAGTTTGAGAGGGATTCTTTTCTTCTTAAATATTTCCCCAGTCATGGTAACTAAGGAGAATCATTGTTCTTATCTCTGTCATCAGTAGAAGTGAGTTACTTACCATCCGTAAACATAGCCTCAGATACTACATACACCATTGGTAGGAATTAGCCTGATTTCCTTTAAGCTTGTGTCAAAAGGAGTTTGTGCCCTGTGATGGGGGGTGTTTATCTTCCCCAGCTTACCTTTAATTTTACCTTTTTATAATTGTGATTTATGGTAAGTAAAGATCTAAAGGAGTTGTAGCATTTCATATACTGTTGAAATCTGTTTGTAGGATCATTGAGTCATAAGCCTCTTTTGGCTAAGAACTTTTAAAATTTGAGAATTGTTAGGAAAGATTTGTATAAATGTAGATGTTTGTCTTTCAGAACCGTGCACTCTCAGTGTGGATGACATGAGCCATAACAACATAGAGATGAAATGGAGATTGGAAGGAGAGGTATTTTTCCTTCATGGTGACACCATAGATTTTGTATGTAAACAAGGATACTATTTGTCACCCTTCAGCATGCAGTCTCAGCTAACAGTACAGTGTACCCAGGGAAAACTGAGATATCCAACATGCATTATGAAAGGTAAAACAGTGGTTATTTTTGCAATCCTATTATAACTCATCCAATTCAGGCATGCTGCGATTGCTTTACTTGAACATTAGAGACTTACACTCTGCTATTAATAGTAATAGAAATCTAGGGTCAAATTGTCCTTTCCATTGCAAAGATATATGTTAAAATGATGTGAACACAGCAGAGCAATACATATTCTGGGGGTGACTGCAGAAGGAGGGTGAGACTTGTCCTTCTAAAAACTTGGAGACCAAGGATCTGCTTAGAATCCCAGCTCAAATATTTAAGTGAGAAGTTTATGTAGCAACATTAAAATGGGTGCCGGATTCTGCTCTTAGATTCATTGTATGTCTTTGTTACGGTTTTTGACTTTATTTATTTAATGTAGATCCCAAGGAAAAATGTGGCTCCCCACCTGTTATTGAGAATGGAGATGTTGTTGACCCACGGCGGACCGAATATGAGAGTGATTCTTCAGTTGAATATAGTTGTTTTGAGCATTATTTCTTACAAGGAGCCAATCAAATCTATTGTTCCAAGGGACAATGGACTACCCCACCAGACTGCATAGGTAGGTGAAATGTGCTGTTGTTAAATGATAAGCTCAATAGAAGTTGATTGAACTTTGTTTAAGGTTTTTAATATTAATGTCCAGGTTTCAAATTAAATTCTCATTTTGAGCAATTTTGGAAGCCTCTCTGGGCAAACCTGAAGTTGTTTGGTTTGTTTTCCTGAGCCTATATGAAATAGAGTATGCATGCATCACCCTAAAGTACTGTCATTGAAGTCTAATACAGCAGAAGAGAGGAAGGTGTTTGTGTCTAATTTTAATATATTAGCTATTGCCAAATAATGCAGTCTCATAAATCAAAATAACCTGTTTAATAAGTATAAAGGAGATTAACTATGCATCTTTCTGTGTTTAAGAGCCATGCACTTTATCGAAGGATGTAATGGACAAAAATAACTTAATATTGAGATGGAGTTTTGATGATAAGTCTTATTTTTTCCACGGGGACTACATTGAATTTCTATGTAAAGAGAATAATTATGGAGCACCATCAAGTTCAGTGCTGGATTTCAGAGTACAGTGTAGCAGAGGACAGCTGACCTATCCAAGATGTGTTGAGAGAGGAAGGTAAGGCGAAGGCGGTATTTAATTTGAAATGTATATATGCATATGTATATATACATATCCTGTTTATGGGATACCACTCCCAAGATGACTAAGCAGCACTAACATTGACTCTCAACTAAATTGTGGCTCTGATGTATTTGCATGTAACCAATATATTTATGTGCATTTCACATATGGCTTCTAGGAATCACGTAGTTTTGTGGTTGGTCCTTTTTGCGGGGGGGTTGGAGAGGGATCAAAAGAAATAATTATTATAGAATTGCTGAAAAAAATTAAATGTCTTAATGTGTGAAGTGAGTTGAAACTGGTCAAGAGAGAACCAAAGTGACAGGAACCAAAAAAACATGTCTGTAGTTTTCTGATGGCTGATTCAAAAGTATTATATGATAGGAGTTCACATATTAGGGCCTGAAACCTCTAGAAAAGTTATATTAGTCTGGCTTGAAAGTTGTGGTGAGACTATAAGATGATAGTCACCATTGGGACCCACAGTGAGCAAACAGAGGAGAAAGTCTCTTTCTTTCCCCTCTACTTGCCTATGGCTTGGTTTGTTCCAAGAAACCTCTGCTTAAATATAGTTGGGAGACAGTTGCCTTGTTCCCAATTGCACATAAGCAAGCAACAAGCTAATGATGCCTTTCTATAGCAGTAGGGAGGAATAGATTGATCCAATCCGAATTCAGTGGTTCCTGCTACCACATTCCGCAACCTAACACCTACTCCTGCTGCCAAAATCAGTTTCAGTTTCTTACCATGACTCAAAGGATTGTCCTATGTGGAGAAAAATTGAGAATGTCTGATCTTTAAGGAAGGGATACTGTCAAATGACTGTGGGTTTGCTAGTCTATTTTACAATATCTTGCTGATTCTGATCCCTAGTAAGCTGCTGACTGAGTCAGGCACATCACTTGGTGGTTGTCTTTGGGCATCAAAATGCTTACTTCCTCAAAGTCACTGTGTTATGGAGACCTTCTGTCCAGCAAGAACAACAACAGATGCTGTCATCCTCTTTTCTCTAGGTGTGAGCATATCCAGGAGCAAAGTGAAGTATCTTTGGAGACCACTAAATTTTCAGTTTTTAGGACTGAATACAACTTTGGCAGCAATGCCAGCTTGAGCAATGATACTCCCAGTCTAGGGCTCATTTGTTGCAATATGTTGTGACACTAGACAATTGGGGAGGTCAAGAAGAACCTTTATGAAAACTGCATGTGGCATCTGATCTGAGCTATTCTGCTGGTTATAGATATTACATGCTATTAGGATAATTTCAGTGATGGGACTCCAATTACTGCTTCACTCCCTGCAACATTTTCCGTGCACTATGTAGCATTGTCTATAACTCCCTCAATTAGAATGGGGAAATAAAAAAATCACATAAGATTTGTGGTAAAGCCATTCCTAATAGAATACTAAAGTAATAAATAAAACCATGCATGATGTAGCATCAGTTTTATTTAAAATTAGATACATAAGAACTGACATTCATGTCAGATGTCATTTTGATGGATCTTTGCCATTGTTGATACAATTCTCTCCACCTTGTACAAAACTGTGTTGGAAGATGTACAAACTGTGTATTGTAAAGACTAACAGCAATTGTGTTTGCTTTTGTAGGTAAGCAGTCTACAACATAAATGATGCTTCAAGGAATGTGAAGGAGGTCACATTTTCTTTAGACATCCATAAATGTTACTAAAGTTACAAGTTAGTTAAAGACAAAGTGTTTGACATTTGATCCCACTTAAAATTTATGAAATGTGTATTTGCATTGGATATTTTCTTGGTTTGTGAACCTTACATTAAAAAAGTCACAAAAAAGCTTTATTTTGTCTTTCAATCTTGTATTGGTAATTCAGCCCATTTTCAATTCCCTAAAATTGTCCATAGTCCATGTACTTTCTATGCACAACTTGTAACACATGAGCATTGGATTGTCCCCTGAACTTGTAGCCAGACAAGAACCGCCCCTGTAACATCCATTTTTGCTTGCCTGAAGCATGCAGGGCACACAGAGCAGAAAGCCTTGAACAGGAGGCTCAGTATATGGCAGGCTGTGTCACCGTGAATGGCTGTAAACAGAGATACGCCAATTGCTGACCAAGAGGCTGCCGAGGAGTGCCCTTGACTAAAACCCATATTGATATGAACACACAGCCATCCACGGGGAGAGGACTCTCTCGTCCAGTAAAAAAAAATGTACTCATAATTTAGCTATCTCTTGCAAGTGTACAGGGAGGTAGATTACCTAGGCCAACAGGGAGAACTCCTGTTAGCATAGGTAGTGTCTACTCTGAAGTGCTGCAGCAATGTGGCAGTGCTGGTGTAGCTCTTTAAGTGTAGACGTATTCTGAGTCCTACGGCTTAAAAAAGAGGATATTATTGTGAAAATACCTTTTACCTTAATTTTGTGTCTCTTCTTTGTACCCCTATTGTGTTCTTATGCCCTTAATGGCACTAGTGGGAGCAAGAGACCTGCAACCATTTCATTTTTGGCGAGTACTGAGCTCTCACTGATGTTACTGGCTACAGATAAAGGACAGCAGTAATGTTTTTCTGGAAAGAATGCTCTATAATTTTGTTCTTTATTCTGATCTAAAAGTTAAAAGCAAACCATCTTTTTTTCTGCAAAACTAACTTACTCTAAAGGGACAGTTTAAATAAAAGTATTAGCCAACTTTTCCCCCCCCCATAATCTTAGATAGAAACTTTGTACCAGTTTATCTCAATATCATGACCACACTAACTGCAGTCCTTTTGGATTAATTTACTGACATGATATAAAACATATGTGCATAAATCTAGTGATAGAGCAAACAGTAAATGTAGGTATAGGAAGAACTTGGGCGTTTTGTATCGTGTCACTCCCAGGTGACAGGTCTGTTGGGGCATCTCTCAGTCTTCCCTAGACTGCCCGCTGTGAAGGGATCCTGTATCCTAGCAGCTAAAATCTGAGATGTAATAAGTTCTCCCTATAAACTTCTGGGGCGTCTGTCAGCCTGTTGGCTGCCCTCTGCGACAGGACCCTGGTCCTAGCGGTAATGGCACGGACGTTAAACCTTTTCTCAGTCTCTTTCTCTCTCTCTCTCTCTCTCTGGCTACGTCTACACTGGCCCCTTTTCCGGAAGGGGCATGTAAATTTCACCTATCGTCGTAGGGAAATCCGCGGGGGATTTAAATATCCCCCGCGGCATTTAAATAAAAATGTCCGCCGCTTTTTTCCGGCTTTTAAAAAAGCCGGAAAAGAGCGTCTACACTGGCCCCGATCCTCCGGAAAAAGTGCCCTTTTCCGGAGGGTCTTATTCCTACTTCAAAGTAGGCCAGTGTAGACGTAGCCTCTCTCTCTCTCTCTCTCTCCACACTCACACTCACACACACACACACACACACACACACACACACACACACTGCCCTGACCGTTGGCTCACAGAACTGTGCATGGGCCCCATGTAGCTCAGGGGTGGGTAACCTTTTTTCTATAGGGGCCACTGTCCCCAGAAATAAAATCAGTCATGGACTACACACAGCCCTTTGGAGAGGGGGCACAGAGGCTTTGGGCCTCCTCTAGGCTCCTGTGTGGGACCAAATGAGGAGTTCAGGATGCAGGGAGGGACTCTAGGCTGGGACAGAGACTTGCACCATGGGAGGGGGTGTAGGCTACCAATGGGGAAGTGGGCTCTGGGGTGGGGCTGATAAGCGGTTTGGGTTATAGGAAGTGGCTCTGGGCTGGTGCCAAGGATTTTGGAGTGTAGGAGTGGACTTAGGGCAGGGACTTGGGATGGGGTGTGGTGCTCATTCTGGGAAGGAGTTAGGGTGCTGAAGTGGGCTGAAGGCTAGGGCAGAAGGTGTGGGGTCTGGGGGGAGCTCAGGGAGGAGGCAGAAGATTGGGGCATGGGAGCAGGTTTGGGCTCTGGGGTGTGGCTGGAGGTGAAGGATTTGAGGTGTGTGAAGTGACTGGGCTGGGAGTGCAGGCACTGGGAGGGAATTAGGGTGTGGGAAAGGGCTGGGGCAGGGGCTTGGGGTGTGGGATGCTTACCTCAGTCAGAGACACAGCAACAGTACATACTTTCCCTGGTTGCCCCTTCCAAGACAGACTATCTTGTTGCCACTGTGCCTGGTCTGGAATCACCTCAGACTTCTGAGTCCTCCGGAAAATGGGGAGGGGTTACTCGATTCCCTTCCTTGCCCTCCCACTCCCTCTGCTTGTTCCTCTTCAGGGACACTTCTCACAAGCAACTACTGATGCAGGAGGTACAGATGCTCCTCACCCTAAGGGAGGTAGAGGAGGTTCCTCAGGAATTCAGAGGCAGGAGTTTTTACTCCCGTTATTTCTTTGTTCCCAAGTCAAACAGGGGACTTCGGTCCCTCCTGGACCTGAGAGAGCTCAACACATTTTTGGCCAGACACAAGTTCCAGATGGTGTCCCTGAGCTATATCATTCCCACCTTGGATCTGGAAGATTGGTACACTGACCATCAGCACTGTCAGCCACCTTCAGCCAAAAATATTCAGTTTTCTAAAGAAAAACCCATTTTGGGGTAAGTAAATATTTTCTATGAATAAATTAATGTTAAAAAGTGGATAGAAAGTTTACATCCAGCCCTATTTTAGTAGATTTTTTTAGATGGGATGGAGCCATTGTTTTGTAACGTGAGAAATATTAATGTAAGAAATACAAGAGAGAGAATAATTTCACTTGCACATTTTATGAATGACACCAAGCTGGGAGGAGTTGTAAGTGCTTTAGAGGATAGGATTATAATTCAAAATGATTTAGACAAACTGGAGAATGGTCAGAGGTAAATAAAATGAAATTCAATAACTGCAAAAGCAGGGTATTCTACTTTAGAAGGGACAATCAGTTGTACACACATACAATGGAAAATGACTGCCTAGGAAGGAGTACTGTGGAATCTAGGGGCCATAGTGAACCACAAGCTAAATACAAGTCAACAGTGGCAGTAAGGGCAGGTTTTCTATACTTCTGGTGAAATGAGAATCTACCTCAAACAGAAGTGGGTAATGTTTGATAAAACTGGTGTGTAGGTCCATTTCAGAATGGCCATCACTATGCCTGAGAAACATGGAAGTTCATTGTTGGAAGCTAAGCAGGGTTGAGAAGGTACCAGTGAATGTATAAGAGGGCAGAGAGCATGTGCTTTAAAAATGACTCTTATGCACCCTTTTGTTCCTTTATATAGTAGCAAGAAGTCCTGAAAGGACTCTTTGTTTACAAAGTTTTTTAATTGCTTTTTTTCTACCTTAGAAATATCAACTATATGGTCTTACCCAGTTTTGCCAGAGGATCATTGTGAGGAATCAGAGCATGTTTAGAGTATACTCTAACACATTTAATTGTAGAGGCTTCAGAAGCCCTTTATTCAAAATCTTGGTAATTGAAATATTAAACAATTAACAAAAACAAAACACAAAGTTTTAGAGTCTGGCCAAAAATCCCATCCCATCTCATTTGTTAATTTTCACACAGTTCTAGTGATGTCACAGTTGCACTAATTCACCAGTTATCTTGGTCTTCCAGTCTAAACTAGGCCTCAATTTCTTGTGCAATATGCAGATAGGAAAAAAAAACTCTCCCCCTTTTTAGGTTGCCCTTAGACATCATAAACAAGCAAGAAAAAGCATAAACCCCAGCTGTGTTTTCTTTGCAGATCATTTCAAAGGGCATTTGGAGTTTTACATTCTTTTGTTTGATCTATTTGAGGATTGCTTATGCTGGCTACCATCTTGTTTGTGTTTATTTATGGAGACATTGCTCCTAAAAAGCTGCACATCCAAAACGTCACTGTAGCATTAGTTAAAATGAATTAGTTGTTATACCATTCCTGAAGCAATCCATGTCTGGAGGTAATTTTTGTTGTCAGAGAGACCACTAATAAGCATAATAATAAAGTGTACTTTCAAGTCTCCTACATTGACCCATCTCTAAGTGCATTGGGGATAAGATATTTGACCAAAATTGCACTGCACTCTATAAATATTTGAAGAGTTTGGAGAGAAACTGGATCTACACTTAAACTCTACAAACTCTCCATGTGGTACGTAGAGTTTCTGATGTGAAGCCCACTTGAAATCTATGTTGTATGGTCTCAGAGCTTCTTGTGTGACAGTACACGGTGCTGCAACAACAACAGAAATATCATTAAAATGTTATATCAATCTAAATAGAAAAATTCTACAATGAAATTGAAGGAGGTCCCAGACTAAAAAAATCAAAGGCTGTTTTGTCCTGTGTGATTCCAGTATGGAACTTAGCACTAGGAGAAAGCAAATAGGTTGGGTTTTTTTCACTTTCTGAAAGTTACCACAGATGATTATCTGAAATTAATGGTTAATGTCACTGGTTTTAGACTATTTGTAAGAAGAGTGTAGCCATTGTAGTATTTCTTTTAGAGATGAAGCAGTAAGAAAATAAAAGCATGAAACTAAGGGAATATTTTCTATCTACAATTAATTTAGTACTTAGCATAAAATAGAAATTAGGAACAATTTCTGATAAAATGTATTTGAAGAAAGTATTAACTTCTCTAAACCAAGCTCTGAGGTAGGTAGGGTTTATTCAGAGGATGGTTGGTCTCCTGTGAGATGTCAAGCCCCTTAAACTGGGTTGTGGGAAGGCAGCTGCAAGTGCTGATCCCAGGTATTGGGTGATGCTGTGATGCCTAATTTGAGATCATTTCAGTGGCCTCTGTTGGACAGAGCCATGTGGAATTCCCATGGAGGCAGAGGTGGTAGTGACGGCAGTTAGGGAGGGGTAGAGGAGCAACAGTTTTGGGAAAGGGCAAAATGAGGGAAGCTACCAGTTTTACAAAAATGTAGGTAATTGCAATTTTTCTCTTGTTTCCTTCTGTGTATGGTGGTCTTGAGAAGGCAAGAGAAATGATCAAGGAATGACACTGTTCCCAGGTGAAGGGCTTGCTCTATTCCAGATGTTCCGCTATGCCTGCAGCCACTCCTTTTCTGTCTCTTCCCCCAGCTCACACTGGTCTGCTTTTGCCCTCCCGCTATGCTGAGCTTGACTTCCCACCCCATCTCCACCACAAATCCCTCTTTTGAGCTCCCTTCCACAGTGTCCCCTCCCATATCCCATGCTGGCCCTTGACTCTCACCAATGCTCTTGTCTCTATTGGCTCTGATAGCATGCCCAGGCACCCCCATGCTCTCCTACTACTCAGCTTTGTGCCGAGTAAGTTCTTTCTTCCCCTATTCCTGATCCCATTGTGGGGGAAATCAACATTTTTTTTCTCACGAGTGAGAAGTGTCAAACATGGAGCTGCTGAAAACTTTGTATCTGTAGTTTATTCCATCTGGAGCACAGTGACTATACTATTGACACTGGATATAGAGGCAGCATGCAAACAGTAATAGCTCATTCCTTTATAATAGTCTGACCCTGCTAGTATCAATGTGGCCTCTTATAGGAACCTTTCCCCCAACATACTGGTCTGAAGGGTTGGTCTTATAATTTTAGCATAGGCACACGGTTGTAGCCCATTATGTAATTGGCTGCTTCTTGATACATCTTCCTTCCTTCCTTGCCCTTGGTAAATGTCCTTAACTCCTTCTATGTGTCCCACCCTTACTCACAAGGCTATGGCACATTCTTGCAAGTGTATTTTAACAATAAATGTTTACTTTCTTAAACTAGGTTCATTGTGCTGCTAGAACCATGACATTGACCACCAGAATCAAATTTATAGTCAGCTGTGACTGTTAAGATAGTTAGAGGCAGCCTGCCCCCTTGATGCTTGATACTTGACTACAGGGTATCTCCTGTAAGTTGCCACGGTATATATCATTGACACTTGTAGGGACTGATGCATTACTAGACCTCCCATTCCCTGCTCTTAAGTTGCACAACCCCACTCCCCCCTCCCCCCCCAAAAAAATCCCAAATTACAATTTGTGCAAATGGAAGTCATCCATGGGGAAAAAAATCTCCACTTTAAGTTGTTTCACTATAAGTCCAAGTTTTTTGGAATGTATCTTGGACTTATAGCGAGGATGGCCTGTACAGAATGTTTTGGCTCTTTGCAGTAGGGAAGAGCAAATATAGTCAATCTAGTTAGCATCACTCTATCCTTTCCTGTTTAGCTAGTTTGTTAGTCATAGTGCTGGTTTGAAAATTACCATCAAACATGTTAAATGAAAAATGGGGAGAGAAATTTGTAAACATTTTCACGGAAATATTTCCCCAAACTTTGATCAGCCCCCGTTAATTTTGTCACTAAATCTACATCAGTCACTTATAGTAAAACAAATTCAACGCAGGGACAACTTTGAAAATAAATCTCCTCTCCATTAAAAAGAAATGACAAATAGAGTAGCAAGAGACAATGGTTTATAAAATTAATTTAGATATAAACTAGCTGGAGTTACCCGGCGATGCTCAGGAAACCGTAGGAACAAAATGTAGAAAAACAGTAGTCCATTATCTTTTTTTGAATTGTAGAAAAGTTGCACTGATTTCTATAGTGATTAAAATATAGGTCCGCGTCATCCCCAGAGGGGGAGGAGGGTGCAACCTTGGGTGGAGGGAAGGTTACATGTGGGAGGCATGCCCCAGCTCTCACCTGGGACTGCAGGTGCCGCGGGGGGCAGGGAGAGTGCCTGAGATGTTGTGCGCATGGGGTCGGAGCACTATGTGCCAGCACGGGGACGGGAGGAAAGAGGGTCACTTATGTAACCTCGTGGGCTGGAGGGAGCGAGTCCTGGATGGTGCTGGGGCCCGCAGGCGGCGGGCATGGGACCTAGTGTGGGCAGGGCGTCCCCTGCAGTGCAGCGCTGTGGGTTACTTTTTGATTTTTACAGCTTGAGCTTGGACCGTATCAGGTCCAAAAGTACCTTAAAACCTTCTCCTTGGTGAAAGGTTATCCTATGCAAAGTTTGGTTGCGGTAGCTCTTATAGTGTCCAAATTATTAGCACACAAACTTACAAACATTCTCCTTTATATATTAGATTGAAAACTTTTTTTACAAGTGAATATTTTTCTTACCTAAACAAACTGGTGCTTTAGTCCAGTTTCCATTATGACAATATGAGTTTCGTTCTCCTTCTATTATATAATAATGCTGGCATCTGTATTCTACCGAAGAACCAAATGCGTACTCATTTAGGGATAAACTAGTTATGTCTCCGTTCTCAATTTTAGGTGGATGGCCACACTTTCCCTTTGTTCCTAAATGGAAATATTGGTAGTTAGGATTTTTTACAGATATAAATGTGTTTGGCTTTGCTATTTTTGTTTGTAGCATGGTGATGGCTCTAGTATTTACCTCTGAAAATTTTTGGTTCTGAAATTTATGGTTTTTCAGGCCTAATCCAGTTCTCATTGAAATCAATAGTTTAGCTGTGAGGCACGCTTGACACCAGTATACACTCAAGTAAGATTTTAAATGCTACGCTAACACACATTTATACACTGTATATGGTCAACATAAGGTCCTTCATTTTGGAAATCATGGAATACGCTGCATTGAATTTGTCAATAAACCTAATCTGCATGTTTCATCCTTTAATTGTTGTGTACATGATCTACATCAGTGGTGCACAACCTTTTTTCAACCACGATCTCCATATTTTATTGTACTCATGTAGCAACCCCCAAGGTAATTTGAGCAGCGCGGTGTTTAGATCTGGGTGGCCGGGACTTATGCCCACAGCTATGGTGACCCCCCAGGAAGACATCCACGGGTTGTGCACCACTGATCTACACAATCCAGGATGATAACAGACAATTTCGTCCTGCCTTGCAGTTTCTTCAACTGGCAATTTTACAAAAATGCATGTAATCACAAACAGTTTTTCTTCTTTCTCCTGTATATGATGACCTTGAGCAGGCAGGAGAAGTGGTTAAGGAATTTCACTGTTCCAAGGCACAGGGATTGCTATATTCAATCCTACACAAGTAGTTCACTGATCATTTAGGCTGAGCTTGCGGTATAATCCTATCTGAGCGCCTGTAGGGTGAATCACATCTTTGGAAACTCTGGGCAAAAAGATCAGGCTCTCATGGGAGGACAAGTATAGCATCTAAGCTAAAATTTTCATAGTAAATAATGTATGTTACAAATCATATTGCAGATGAGCCTAACCTCTGTCAGATAGGCTAAGATCTTCAGGTTCTTGGACACTAAATGTCTGGCTGCTTCAAAATCTGACAAGCCTCCATCACTCTTCAAATAAAAAGATTGCCAGGAAAGTCCAGATTGAAACTCTCCTTTACGCAGATTCCCCCGGTAGAAAAACTGGATCATTTTCTATGAGCTTTGGGCCAGGATTCTTTAATGAGTGTTGAAATGCCTTCACAACCTTTCAGAACCATCGCCCACCTTTACCACTTCTGTTGATTAGATAGACTATTTTCTCATTGTAAAAAGAAACATGAACGTTTTTAAAAGAAGTGGGCTCGCTGTCCAAATTTACCTTTTTTGATTTTTCTCTCTGCTAGCTTGGCTTGTGCTTGGATTTTTAAATTTATCTGATTGATTAAATAGAAAAATGAGGAGGGTAATTGTCTCAAAGTCCCGAATTACCGAGTCCTAAACTGATCTGAAAGGAAGACAAACTCTGGCAAGAACCAATTTTAACCTATTACATATATATATACACTCCACCCTTTTTGCTCAAATGTATGTGAGGAAAGAACTGATATAGAACTAAGTATGTTTACCAGATACACAAGTTGGTAAATCCACGTGCCCGTCAACACATTTGATGTGATTGGGAATTTTAAGGTCAGAATCATTACAAAAAAGTTGTATTGCTTGGTCACTTTGGATCAAGACTGTACGTCTTCGGCTGTTGGACAGAAGCAATTTCTTTGTTTCCAGTTGTTGCCTTGTAATAATACACGGTGCTTTAAATAAAAAAGAGCAACACACAGAAAATAGTTTAAAAGTTTAAATATCTTCCACATTGATACAGTACAATAGATTCAATACTTCTAGAGTCCATTTCCCTTTGTGTTTACTATATAGAGAATGAATGATGCATAACAAATAAAAATGGACCACTTTCAGATGTGATGTGGATTAGTTGTTAGATCAGGGATCTGAAAATCAGAACACCTCTCTTTTATTCCCACCTTTACCATTAACTTGCTGTATGGCCTTGGCAATTTTCTTAGTTTTGTTGCTTCAGTTTTTCCATTCGTGTAATGGGGGCAGTAATTTCCCATTGCTAAAGAATGTATGAAAGGTATTATAAAGTACAGTTAAGCATAACCAATAGGATATTGATTCTATCTACATTGTCCTTACCAGATAATTTGCCGTTTACTATCTATCAAGTAGACACTTTTGATGGCTATTTAGTTCTCCCTAAAATTAGACAATGTGTTAAGGTATGTCTACACTAGCCCCCTAGTTCAAACTAGGGAGGCTAATGAAGGCATTCGAAGTTGCAAATGAATCCCGGCATTTAAATATCCCGGGCTTTATTTGCATCTTCCCGTCCAGTCGCCATTTTGAAATTTCACTAGTCCGGACTAACTGCCTGCGGCTACACATTGCAGGGAGCCGATAGTTCGAATTAAAGCCCTAATTCGAACTACCTGTTATTCCTCCTGCAAGGAGGTTTAATGGTAGTTTGAATTAAGGACTTTAATTCAAACTACTGGCTCCCTGCCGCAGGTAGCCACAGGCAGTTAGACCGGACTAGTGAAATTTCAAAATGGTGACTGGACGGGAAGATGCAAATAAAGCCCAGGATATTTAAATCCCAGGCTTCATTTGCAACTTCAAATGCCTTCATTAGCCTCTTAGTTTGAACTAGGGGGCTAGTGTAGACATACCCTTATGCTCCAGCAAGGCTAATTTTGGACTTGATACCAGTGAAGTCAATGGGAATTTTGCCATTGTATTGTATGTGAGCCAGCTCATAAGCTCTGAGTGTGCTGGAAACATTAAATAGCAACCCATAAAATAGCAGCCATAATTAAATAATACTATGAGATGAGAAAAGAATGTTCTATCCCATCTATTTTAGTCCAGTGAGTGAAGAACTAAAACATTATCCTACCCAAGCACTTTGGTGGAGGTGTCCATTTTTCTTCACTGCATGTTATACTTTCAGGTCCTGCCAGAGTGTATCCAGGGTAGCACCTGTACCGTACAGCATCACCCTCCCAATATTCTGCTTTCTCCTTGCTGACAATTTCTGCCAAATCGATGTCAGGTGGATGTGGACACCCTTGAACTGCAACACACATGTGTGTTAATCTATAACTGGTGATAGTTAAAGGAGAGCACAATTGAAGAAGCAAGAGTGTTAATTTGTCGGTGTTAAGTTCTTTAAAGTAAAATCTGTCTTTTATATTGTGTTAGATTTCATAGAAACACAATGAGGTCCCAGTCTTGAGTGAGGTCTTCGGAGCTATAAACAAACCAAATAATTGGGGGATATTTCCATTATCAAAAATGATTACAATAAAGGTGGGACATGTGAAAGCGTCACAAATGTTTGATGGGACTCAAGGAAACAATGCTTCTCTCATTACCTGTTAGTGTATGAACATTATTTTAATAAACAGACATCATAAGAAGAAGCTTCAGTGAACTAACATTTTAAAAAAGTAATATTGTTTGTGGTTATTGTCTGGACCTTAAAGTTGATACAACATAGATGGATGAGAATAGATCTAAGGAGAACTAAATACCAGTATAAGCTAGGGGGGTGTGGTGATCTAATTTGCATTACTTTATACCACTATCTTGGAATATGGGTCATATTCCTTATAAACTTTTCCCATCATCACACTTCCTTATATTTTAGACATAATGCCAGTGAGTGAGAGCTTTGCACTGACTTCAGTGAGTATAAGATCAAGTGCTAAATGAATAGCAGTTATATTTTGAAGTAGGAAACGCACCTTTCTGCTTTTTATGTTTGGATAACTTCTCAGAGGGGTAAGTACCCCTCAGCAGAGCCTACAGCCACCATGGGATAAGGCAAAGCATGGACCTGACTCTGTGCCCCCTGGAAGGGGTGGAGCCTTGAGAAGGAGCAGGGCCCAGGGCAGACAGCTCTCAGTGTTGTCCAAACTGTGGCATGCCCACCTCCCCCAGTCCTCAGAGCTGCATGGAGTGCCTGGCTTGGCTTCAGAACTCTGTCAGTGATTCAAAGGGGCCCCTTAAATCACCAAGGTCTGAGACAACTGGCTCCTTTGTTCCACCTGTTGTCAGGCCTGGTCCTCCTGAGCACTAATGTTGATCCAGAACACCATTTTAGATCCTCCTCTTGGGGGAAGGTGGAGTGGAATAATATTTCAGTACTGCTGGTCATTGTAAAGTAAACCCATGATTATTCAGGCTAAAATATACTCTTCATGAGAGTGCTTTTTCACAAATGTGTATCACTTTCTTGCTAATTCCAGCTTCTTCCCATTCTAAGTTGATCAAAAAAAAAATTATAAACCCATTAGTCCACTTGATAAGTATGTACTTGCCAATAAAAATGTGTCAAAGTATGTGATGGCATGACTTATCCATCTGTGAAGGAGTGGCCTGCAAAGCATTGATCAGCAGATGCTGCAATGTCACAGGAAAGGATAGCTGCAGAGGCAGCAAACTGATATAGTCATTTTTAGGTAGACAATCAAGAACATGGTGTGTATATATAGCATCTTTTAGGTGTGTAAAGAAAAGTGCATTACTATTATAATCTATTTTGCCTATTGACATGTTTAGGATTCAAGCTCTGGTCCGCCTTCATTTTAGGTACTGTGAGAAATTTTACCTCAGTTTGTATTAAAGTAGAGAGTTTGGTATCTGTTCTAGAATTGGTTGATTATTAAATCACGTAGTGGTTTTTTAAATAAACAGTGTGTTGGAGGGAGGAGAGAAAATTACCAGAAGTTAATCCGAAATATAAGCTTTCTTACCAATACATTTAGGTACTGGAGACCAGCCTTCAGAAGTACAGGTAGTTTCATTAATTCCACTTTCAGATTTATATCCATGATTGCATTGAAAGGTTGTTTTTTGTTCAACTTGATCCACTATTTTCCCATTTGCTATCCTTCCGCATTGTATTGCTGAAGAAAAACAGAACAACATAACCAAAAAAATATGACTGCAGATAATATACAGGAATCCATGGTGTTTATTTTGTGCTACCATAATAGGTAGCATCATTAGAAGGGATGGTAAATTTAGAAAAAAATAATTTTCTTGTTTTCTCAAAAAACATGGAAAATCTTCTGTGGGAAAAAAACCTTGCAATTTTATAAGAAGTTTATTTGACTTTTTGAAAATAATGCAATGTTTGCATCTAAAAATTCAATCTTTTTGACAACTTTAATCATTTTTTGACTGGGGTATTTTTTTAAAGCACTGAGGCTTTCTAAAGTGATGTAGGCACTAGAAGCCAGAGTCCCTTTGGTTTTCAGTGGTAATTAGGATCTGGAGTGTCAAAGTCAACTTGAAATTAGGACTTATGCTTTTACTCATGTAGAGTAAATGACAAGTAATGTTATCATGTTTTGATAACATTACCCGAGATATTCTGGATCTAATTAAGCCACTCACTGAATATCCAAGTTAATTATAGCTCACATAACAGTACTGGAAGCCTAAGCTGAATAAAACTTTGTTGACTCTTAAAATACACCTATTGCCAGGGTCTTTGATTAAAACGTGGTTGTCCCCTACAGTGAGTACAAAAAACTATTGCAATTTAGAGCATAAACTGGACATTATCTGTGTTTCATAACTTTGGCTTGACTAAGTGAAACCACTGTGAAAACTGTCATTTATGAGCAAATTCCCCTTCAAGACAGGAAGGGCATCCAAATATAACTGCCAGGCACATTCGATTATTAGAGCTTATGCTACGTTCCTGAAGACTATCTTTGTGTATGTATGTACAATGCCCAGCATATCATAGCCCAGATTGTTAATGGGACTGTTCAAATGCAAAGAATAAGCAGTAATATGGATAATGAGCCCTGGGCTCTAAAATTGTTGCTTGAGTTAATCAAGATTTTTGACCAATTAGGATTGAATCTCTTAAAAATGCTAGATGAGGTATTACATTACATTACCTGAAGTATGTAAAGTTGAATACAATCACAACAGTGTTCTAATGTATTTTGTTGGGGTTTTTTTCCACTTAAAATCTATGGTTGAGATTTTTTTCAAGTCTAGACAGGGGTCTTAGCTACATAACTTGCCAAAAATTAATGGGAATAATGTGGCTAAATCCCCTAGCTGGCTTTGAAAATTTCAATTCATATTTTTTATTTTGTTTAATCCATTCTACAATATCTTGCTGCCAACCTAATCACTAAAATGTAGATGCCATATTAGTTTCATTTTTATCATAGCACTGTTGGGTCTAATTTTGTACATGTTTTTGACTAATTTTTATGTAGTATTAATTTTTCCTTTTAGGTTTTGTTTGTGATATTAGGGTATACATTCATTGCATTATCCCTAAAGCACCACAAAATCCGATATGAGACCTGTATGACACAAATATTCAAATACAAAATTCTACAAAAGGACCATGGTATTCAAACTCACAGATGTACCAAGTATAACTTTCTGCTATCATTACTGTTTCAGTTTTGGTGCTCTGTGTAGTAAGTATTGTGACAATTTGGAGAAGCAGGCTAGAAAATTTGAGTTCTGGTGGATTATGAAACTGTTGTATCAAGGAGGTGGATATAGAATTGACCATGTGGATGTGGAACCCATCATTTGCTGACAAGACTATAATCAGTCCTCTGTCATTGGGGGTATGTCTACACTACTCTCCAAGTTCGAACTAGGAGGGTAATGTAGGCATACCGCACTTGCAAATGAAGCCCGGGATTTGAATTTCCCGGGCTTCATTTGCATAAGCGGGGAGCCGCCATTTTTATGCAAATGAAGCCCGGGAAATTCAAATCCCGGGCTTCATTTGCAAGTGCGGTATGCCTACATTACCCCGCTAGTTCGAACTAGGGGGGTAGTGTAGACATACCCTGGGGGAAGCAGATTGACTGGATCCTTCCAGGTGAAGTTGGCAGGTAATACATCCTTTTGGCAAAAGACATCAAATGGTTCCAGCAAACATAGTCTTACATGTTATTGCTTTTAGCCAGCCAGCAATGTGCAGTCTTTGCACTGGTGTTTTCCTGAGAGGTCTGAAAAAGGGAGCTGTTCTGTGCCTCTTGATTGCTCTCTTCCAAGACTTGCGCATACAATGTAAATAAATAAGCAGAATACAGCCCATAGACAGTACACATTTCAGTGCATCTTAAGTACTATAAAAACTGCAATGTGTGTGTCTTTTTGAAGGATAGTAAAGAGGAAATTACCCTTATTTAAACTCACTTACGAATGCATTTGGGAACAGGAGACCATCCTGAAGCAGTACACTCAATTCTGTTGTTGTCATTTTCTGCTATATACCCAGTATTACATTCAAATGTTCTTTTTCTTCTCTGGAAGAAGGAGAATGGCTTTACCCACCCGTTTTCAATCTTACCACATGAAATAGCTGAAAGCAAAGTAAATACATAAATGGTGACATGATATATATGTAACCACAGATCTCTGGCTGTATATTTTGCTGCTCTTATATAGCACAGTATAATACATTTTAAAGAGAATGAAAAAAGATTAGAACTTAGAGTCATTTTGAAAAGTGGAGGAACATCTGGTTGGAATGAAATGAAAACTCTCATAGGCAATGCCATTGTAACTACTATTGGGGTTACTAAAAAGAGTTAATTAAAATGTAAAAATAGTCAAAGCAGTTTATATAACATGAAGTTTTTTTTAATGAGCTGTCACCATTGCTAATGAAATCCTGCTTACTGCCCTGATTTTCCCCAAATGCACTAATGCAAAGAAGCCTAGGCAGTATGGAATATATAGCTATCATAGCAAAAAAGTTCCTGTATGAACACTAAAGTTAGAGCAAATAATGGATTTTTTAATATTGCTAACACACAAAAATGGTGAAAAAATGTTCTGGATGGAGCCAAAATTTGTTTGGCTTTTTGTTTGTATTTTTCTTTGCTGCAAAGTTTGAAGAAAACATAGTTTGGGTTGAACAAAATGTTTCATTTTTATTTTCAGTATTTTGTAACACTTAATTTTTAAACTCTAAGAATTTTAAAATGAGATTTTCTTTTTTTAGAATTAAAAATTGTTAAAAAGGCAAAAGGAAATGTTTTGCTTGGGGAGGTGGGATTTTAAAAGTTTTTTTTTTCTGAAATAATCTGGCAAAATCAACACATTTGTAGAGTGTTTGAGTTGCCAAATTTGTATTTTTCATTGACAATAGTTTTCGGAGAATAATTTCAGCCGGCTCTAATGAATAGAAGTCACCTGTGATGGGTGGAATTGGGTGAGATGAACATGCCAAGATCATGTCCACAACAACATGCTGGTATTCAAAATATTCTGCAAAGGGGACAGCAATGTTGCAAAGAAAATGTGCATTTTGGGCATATTCAGCTGGTATAAACTAGCTCTCAGCTAAATGTGAGGTGGAAGATAGTTGTGTCTATTACAAAATGACAGTTACTCCATTAGCATCTTCACAATAGGCCCTGTCCTTGAAGCAATGTGTCTGCTTTACCTTGCCCCTTAGTTGCACTACCAAGTCACCATCGGCTTTTCCTGACCCTGCAGACCTAGGTGGTGGTATGTACTCTAAATCTTTTCTTTCCAGTCCTCTCTGCAACTTTTTACATGGCCTTTTTACAAGTATATATTTTGCTTGTATCTTAATATCTTACCTAATGCTGTGGAGCACCCACATAGTATCAGAATGGCAATACATCCAAGCTGGGTCATCTCTGTCCCTCCAAAGCTTAGCCTGCAATTCAAAGTTGTGGTGCAGTGTAGTGCAGTGCCCTGAACTCTGTCCTTACCAATGTCTTTTAAAGGCTGACCTCTCATTCGTAATCCCCTCCCTGCTGGCCCCCCACACTCTGTCAATATTGCAACACAAAAATATGCAAATTTTAATTTAAAAGTCCAGTAGATAATTTTCTACCAGAAAATTTCCCTCCCACATGTTTCCACGAATCAGTGAGCCAGCTGACGCCATCCAGCTGTACGAGCTCCAGGTCAGTGATATTCTTAGGAATGAGGACTGGGTTTAAGATAAAATATGGCATCTGAACAAGACTGATCTCAACTAAGGTGAATACAATAGCAGATCCCCTTGCCCCCATCTAATGTCAGTTGAAGTCAATGGGAGGTTTCCTATTGATTTTAATGGGTTCTAGGTCATGCCCCCTAAGAAGAGAGAAACTCAAAGTGTAATGCAAGAGAAGTACTTAGAATAATTTGGACTTTATTCTTTGTAACATTCACTTAAATTCTCTCTCTACCATGAAATTTGGTGTCCTGTAAACCTCGTTTCATGAGGCATAAGAGATCGGTTGGCAAAGGCTTTCCTTGCCTACTGATCTACATCTTGACTACCGCATTGTGCCGATGATCAGCTGAGCCAGCACAACATGATGGCCATTTTTATTTTAATGAAGCGGGGGATATTTAAATCCCTGCTTCATTGACTATGTCGGTATGTCTAATTTACATGCCTCTGCCGGTAGAGGCATGTAGTCTAGATATACCCAAAGATTTTAGTAGAACCTGGATTTGCCATCTAAAGATACAGATCTATTTCTATTGAATATTCCAAAGCACAGAGGGTCATAATTCAAAATGATCTGGATAAATTGGAGAAATGGTCTGAGATAAACAGGATGTAGTTTAATAAGGACAAATGCAAAGTGCTCCACTTAGGAAGGAACAATCAGTTTCACACATACAGAATGGGAAGCACCAGTCTAGTAAGAAGTACGGGAGAAAGAAAGCTAGGGGTTAAATTCAAAATGATCTGGATAAATTGGAGAAATGGTCTGAGATAAACAGGATGTAGTTTAATAAGGACAAATGCAAAGTGCTCCACTTAGGAAGGAACAATCAGTTTCACACATACAGAATGGGAAGCACCAGTCTAGTAAGAAGTACGGGAGAAAGGAAGCTAGGGGTTATAGTGGATCACAAGCTAAATATGAGTCGAACATTGTGACGCTTTTGCAAAAAAACAGACATGATTCTAGGATGCATTAACAGGTGTGTTGTGAGCAAGACATGAGAAGTCATTCTTCCGCTCTACTCTGTGCTGATTAGGCCTCAGTTGGAGTATTGTGTTCAGTTCTGGGCATCTCGTTTCAAGAAAGATGTGGAGAAATTGGAGAGGGTCCAGAGAAGAGCAGCGAGAATGATTAAAGGTCTAGAGAACATGAGCTATGAAGGAAGGCTGAAAGAATTGGGCTTATTTAGTCTGGAAAAGAGAAGATTGAGAGGGGACATAATAGTGGTTTTCTGGTATCTAAAAGGGTGTCACAAGGAGGAAGGAGAAAAAATGTTCTTCTTGGCCTCTGAGGATAGGACAAGAAGCAATTGGCTTTAACTGCAACAAGGGATGTTTAAGCTGGGCATTAGGAAAAACTTCCTAATGGTCAGGGTGGTTAAACACTGGAATAAATTGCCTAGGGAGGTTGTGTAATCTCCATATCTGGAGATATTTAAGAGTAGGTTAGATAAAGAGTCTGAGGCGGGACCGTTTTGGCGCCCGTGGGCAGGCGAGTTTCGGGCAGCTGCCCCGCCTGCCGTGGGGGGATCGCTTTAAGGCACCCGCCCCACTTAGGGCCTCAGGCTGGGACCCGGTGGTGAGGGTGGGCCCGGGTCTCCTACTCCCCACACCCCGACCTCAGCGCAGGTCTTCCAGGCTGTGATAGCCGAACACACTACCCAACCTCACCCCCCCCGCCGAGAGGGTGCGAGAGGAAGGGATCAAGACTAGAGGGACGGATCAAGAGCCCTGGCCGAGCGGACTGGGACGGCGCCGGACTGGGTCGGCCGAGCCCCCTCGTCCCCATACAGGGTGAGGGGTGATCGCACCCAGTCCCGGGCTCACTTATGGACCCCGGACATCGGGACTACGAGGCTCTCAGAGGCGGTGGGTTCGCGGAACCTCCCCCCCCGCTGGCCCCGATCCGGGGCGCGGGCAGGGGTAGCGGGGTGTGGCGCTTGCACCCTTAAAACCCGCCACAGTGTCTAATTGCAAAAACATCTTAGAATCCTGCAAGCCTTACAGATTGTAACATACATGATTATGAAGATGACTTGATATGTATCTTGCTAATTTTTGCTATTTGTTTCAAATGAACTTCCTTCTGGAATAACCAGCAAAAATAACATGGTTTCCCAAAAGAAATGGGGAGTAGTCATACACGTTTTGAGCAATAGTCCAGCTAGCATAACGTGTTCCTGACAGTGCTTAGTGCTGCCTGTAAAAGACAATTACAGAATAATTTGCCTATTGTGGAAATTTATTCCTAACCCCTGATAGTTGGACTTATGCCCTAAAGCATGTGTGTTTATGTGTGTTAATGGAATAAGTGTTATTCTAGCTAGTATAACTGCAGAGGCTGTCATTTTTATGGACTGCTGGTCACTGTCATGTAGCGGGTCCTTTTGACCACGGCCTCGCACGTATTGCCCATACTGCCACACAAAAGCCCCTCACAAGAAAAACACAGGCCGCTGAGGCAGATCCAGAGACAGAGCTTGAAGTCCCTCGGGTGCTCAGCACTGTTCTCAGTAAACGGAACTTACCTTGGCAAGCACTTGGGCCAAAAAGATAAGAGCAGGGACACAAGCTGTCCCATACACTAAGTTAACGAGCACTAAAAAAACAGGACAAGATAGAAATAAGAGATATGAGCTGTCATATACATGAGTTCATAGAATCATAGAATAATAGGACTGGAAGGGACCTCAAGAGGTCATCGAGTCCAGCCCCCCGCCCTCAAGGCAGGATCAAGCTCCGTCTACACCATCCCTGACAGATGTCTATCTAACCTGTTCTTAAATATCTCCAGAGAGGGAGATTCCACCACCTCCCTTGGCAATTTATTCCAATATTTGACCACCCTGACAGTTAGGAATGTTTTCCTAATGTCCAATCTAAACCTCCCCTGCTGCACTTTAAGCCCATTACTCCATGTCCTGTTCACAAGGAAGGAACCCTAATATGGTACCGGATATCAAATAATCCTAATATGGTACCGGATGTCAAAAATTATAGTATAAAGCACCCTGCGCCCTAAGCTCGGGGAGGTTCCATATAAAAAAATAGAAGGCACGTATTGTCCAGCCTGGCTGAGGGGTTGATCACCCAAGACCGCCTCCCACCCACCGAATCACGAAAGGGTGTATGAATCCGGAGCATGCTACATGTTATTTTGTGTCTGTGCATCATAATTGTTTCTGGGCTTGTGAGTATTGCTTACTATACTGTATTAACCATTTCATATTTAGAGGTTGTTAAGTATACGTAGATTAATGACTAACTCCACCAACTGTTCAAAAATAACCATAGAAGGATTGGCTGCAGGAGTTTTTATTATTGCTGTATTGATTTTATTTGTTATATTCTTTTTTTGCATGCTGCGCTGTCTAAGATGAATCAGAGACAGTGACTTAATATAATCAAATTGTAGTTAATAAAGTTTGTAATTGGTTAAGTGCATTTAAGTCTCGGGCCTTCCTCCTTCGCTGCCCCAGTCCCTTGCCACAAAAAACCACCCCTATACAATCCTCGAACCTCTGGTTCATAAGTCACGGCTCCATAATTAAGGTGGTTTTGTAATTTGTAATGAAACGGGACTAAACCCCTTTTTACATAGTTTAACTAGTTAGTTTGCCTTGAACTTGACTCACTTTGCCTTCACAGGCTAGTTGAAATTTCTACATAATGTCCTTGATTACAGGCCTTTTCAGGTTTATTTTAAAAAGGTTGATATCTAAAAATATTAGCAAGTTTTTTTCTTTTGAGGAATTGCATAATGTATCTGTGCAGATAGAAAGAAATTATTGAGTGTTGCAAGAGCCTTAGGGGAAGTGATTACTGAAGTCAGGGGGAAAAATCCTTTACAAGGTCTTTTCCAGGAGGCATTTGTTAGTGAAAGTAGCTGAGAGCAACAGAAAATACCAGCTACTGTTGTAATCAAATAGATAAATTCATGGAGGATAGGTCTATCAATGGCTGTTAGCCAGGATGGCTTCTCTAGCCTCTGCTTGTCAGAAGCTGGGAATGAGTGACAGGAAATGGATCCCTGTTCTGTTCGTTTCCTCTCAATGGATTTGCCACTAGCCGCTGTCGGCAGACAGGATACTGGGCTAGATGGACCTTTGGTCTGGCACAGTATGGCCGTTCTTAATGTTCTTAATGGTATCCAGTCTGGTTCTGAGATGCTGAGATGTAGGGGAGTCAGCAACCTCTGCTAGGTCTGGGCAAGCTGTGTGTGTGGAGGCCTTTCTCTGTATGCCCAGAAAGGGCAGGGCCAGGATCAGCCAGCCCACATTGCTGCATGGAGCATGCAATATGGAGGTTTGGTGGCAATTTAAAGGGCTCTGGGCATGCCACTGCAACTGTGGCTGTGTGGTGGCCAGGAGCCCTGGGTCCCTTTGAATCACCAGGCCCTGGGGAAATTGTCTCCTTTGCCCCCACCTCACCCCCTGTCAGAGATGATATGGCAGAGTTGCTGTTCTGCTCCTTCTGTGGACATGTATTGCACAAGAAGGCAGGTTGTTAAAATGAAAGACCTGCTATCCACCATTAGTGTCTTGTAAAACTTATTGCTGCAATGTTTGACTGCTCATGCTCATTACACACGAGGTGTGCATGCTCGTTGTGTGCACCAGTGCAGGAAGTTTTTTCCTTAGCAGTACCCATAGAGAAGAGCCTGTAGTGTCCTCTGGAGTGGAGCCTCCACGGTGTGTATAAGGGATACTGTGCTACCCCCCACCCTCAGTTCCTTCTTGCTG